CTGGGGCTAGAACTCACGACCCCGAGATCAAGAGTCGCACCGTCCACCGAGGGAGCCATCCAGGCGCCCCTCCCCACTTCTGCTTTCTTTCCCACTTAGCAATGTGTCTTGGCATTCATTTCTTTTCCAAAAAAAAAATTTTTTTAACGTGTATTCATTTTTTTTTTATTTTTTTTTCAACGTTTATTTATTTTTGGGACAGAGAGAGACAGAGCATGAACGGGCGAGGGGCAGAGAGAGAGGGAGACACAGAATCGGAAACAGGCTCCAGGCTCTGAGCCATCAGCCCAGAGCCCGACGCGGGGCTCGAACTCCCGGACCGCGAGATCGTGACCTGGCTGAAGTCGGCCGCTTAACCGACTGCGCCACCCAGGCGCCCCTAACGTGTATTCATTTTTGAGAGCAGAGACGGAGTGTGAGCAGGAGAGGGGCAGAGGGAGAGGGAGACACAGAATCCGAAGCAGGCTCCAGGCTCCGAGCCGGACAGAGCCCGACACGGGGCTCAAACCCACGAACTGGGGGATCATGACCTGAGCCGAAGTCAGACGCTCAACCGACTGAGCCACCCAGGTGCCCTCAGGATGATCTCTTTAAAAGTGTAAATCAAATCTTATAGTTCTTCTGTTTAAAACTCTCCGATGGCTTCCCACAGCAGGTGGAATCAAAGAGAACATGTAATTCAATTCCTTGCTGTGGCTTCAGCATCTCACAAAAGTTGACGTTTGTTGGACCCCTCCAGTCCTTCCCCTGCCCCAGTCATTGTGGCTTGCTTTTGTCTCCTGAACAGGCCAGCCTTGTTAGACTCTCAGGATTTCTCCACGTTTGTCCTCTCTTTGCGTGAATATTTTTTCCCGCCACAGGGGCGCCTGGGTGGCGCAGTCGGTTAAGCGTCCGACTTCAGCCAGGTCACGATCTTGCGGTCCGTGAGTTCGAGCCCCGCGTCAGGCTCTGGGCTGATGGCTCGGAGCCTGGAGCCTGTTTCCGATTCTGTGTCTCCCTCTCTCTCTGCCCCTCCCCCGTTCGTGCTCTGTCTCTCTCTGTCCCAAAAATAAATAAAAAACGTTGAAAAAAAATAAAAAAAAAATATTTTTTCCCGCCACGTCTTCCCATAGCTGCCCCCATCTTCCCTCTTGGGTCTCTGCCAAAAATTGCCCTATCCTCTACCGCTCTAGTTAATTTTATTCAGAGCCTCTCCCCAAACCACTTGCTGTTTGGGACCTCTCTCTTATATGAACGAGTTCCTCCTCCTCCCGGTCCCCGCCCCGTCCCATTTTAAAACACTCATTTGAGGTTGTTTTTTTTTTTTTTAATTTCTTGCAACAAAAATAATTCCATTTTTATTTGATTTTATTTTTTTAGCGTTTGTTTATTTTTGAGACAGCATGAACAGGGGAGGGGCAGAGGGGGGGGGGTGGACAGAGGATCTGAAGCAGACTCTGAAGCAGCTGTCAGGGTGGAGTCCTCTTGGGTTTCTCTCTCCCTCTCTCTCTGCCCCTCGGCCCCCCCAAAATAAGTAAATAAACTTAAAAAAATAATATGTTAAGAATTCCTCTGAATCGGGCACCTGGGTGGCTTAATCGGTGAAGCGTTCAACTTTGGCTCAGGACATGATCTCACGGTTCATGAGTTCAAGCCCCACATAGGGCTCTGTGATGACAGCTCAAAGCCCTCTTCGGATCCTCTGTCCCCCTCTCTCTGCCCCCCCCCCAATAAATAAACATTAAAATAAAAGAAAGAATTGCTTCGAGTCAATAAATAGTAAAAGGCGAACAACCAATGACCAATGGGCAAAAGATATATAGAATTCTATAGTAGACAAATACAAACAGCTAAAAAAATATTAAAAGATCCCTAGCCTCACTGATATTCAGGGAAATGGCTTCTTAAAATGACATTACTGCGTAATCTTTTGTCCACCAGATTGGCAGACAAAAAAAAATGATAAAAGTCAGGGTTGGCAAGGATATGCGGAAATGAACACGTTCGCACACTGTTGGTAGGAATGTATGATGATGTGACGCTTTTTTTTTTTTTAACATTTGTTTATTTATTTACGTGATCACCCAACGCAGGGCTCAAACCCATGACACTGAGATCGAGTCACACACTCCACTGACTGAGCCAGCCAGGCGCCCCAGGCATGATGCTTTTTGAGAGTAATGTGTCAGCCTCTGTTATAACAAAAAGCATTCATGACTTTTGATCTGGTAATTCCAAGTAGGTAGATAAGACTTCTGGATAACCACTCACGTAAATGCCCAAATAGGAATGTGTGTTCCTCGCAGCAATGCTTGTAAGTAAGGAAAAATTGTAATTGGCTCCATTTACCAAAATGGAAAATTATGTGAGAGCTAAAAGAAGCAACGAGAAGGGTAACTTGAGAATCCTGTGTGCAATGCGCTCTTATCTATGTGAGGGACGTGGAACGGGGACACCTGTTTCTGCATGCGGATAAGTGCCGAGAAAACTGTCTGAAAGGGTTCATATGAAACTGATCCCAGTAGTTCGCCTTGGGGAGGAGTGTGGGATTTCTTGCGTGTTGCAGGGAGGGGTTGAGGGGGTACTTTTGCTTTGTCTGTATTAAAAAAAAAAACACTAGAATTTTCCTGGAGTAATTTGAAAAAAGTCTACAAGAAGCGAAAAGCAAAATAACTTCTAGAGTTAGTGTTAAAAAAATTCTACAAATGAATTTAGTTGACCACGGCATAGAAGTGTGGGGTACTTGGTGATACCTGAGACACGGTTAGCCAGCACCGGCAGCGGAAAGGCATAAGCTTTGGAGTCAGGCCGACTTGGATTGGAGTACTGGTTCTCCCATTTGCTGTGTGACTTGGGCCAATCATTCAACCTCTCTGAGCCCTGGGATAAGAAATGGAATCTACAGGAAAGAGCTGTTAAGAGGATCGCTGACATAATACAGGTAAAAGTCTCTAGCACATACTAGGTGCTCAGTTAAGCGGTGGGCATTATTAGTAATAACGATGAAAATTATGGTCTGTGACCCAATAAGAATTGAGAAACAGATGAATTAAATCACACAGATTTAATCCGCAGATTGTAGGTCTCGCCACCAAGGATTCATTATTGTTTCCTCCATATATTCCTCGTGTTATTCATTTGCTTATCCATTCATTCGCTCGATAAGTACATGCTGAGCACTTGTTACGTTAGGCCGTAGACATACAACATTAAAAATAACTGCGTGCCTTGGGGCGTCTGGGTGGCTCAGTCGGTTAAGCGTCCGACTTCAGCTCAGGTCACGATCTCGGGGTTTGCGAGTTGGAGCCCCACGTCGGGCTCTCTGTGGTGACAGCTGGAGCCTGGAGGCTGCTTTGTATGCTGTGTCTCCCTCTCTCTCTGCCCCTCCCCCGCTCACGCTCTGTCTCTCAAAAATGAACAAAAAAAATAGAAAAAAGAAAATAACCTGTGTGCCTCTTTTCTGGGACTTGACAATTTCCCCCGATGGGAGAAAGGGACATGTAGCTAGTTGGCAGAGTAACATGGGAGTTACCCGTGTGGACATTGGACCCAAACTCGGGTCTCATTCCCAGCTCTATCACTTACTAGCTCTGTGACCTTGGATTGGTTAACTTCTTTGGTCCCATCATCTATAAAATGAGTTGTCGACATTTCTCACCTCTGCTCTCCTCCTGTCCCCATTGTAAGGTTCTTAAGGAGATTAGATGAGCCGATACAAGGGTAAAGCACTTTGCCCAGTGCCTGGCCCAGGGAACGCCTTGGTAGACATCAGCTACTTTTCTTTCCAGGCAGTCATGCCCCTGTGGGGTTGATATTATAAACGGGGAATTCTAAGAGTCAGGAGCACCCATCAGATCTAAAGGTGCTTGTCTATCTGGCAAACTATGTATATTAAGTAATAATGGATCCCTCTAGATCATTAATCAACAGCTAATATAAAACTGGAATAAGAGGGGTGCCTGGGTGGCTCGGTGGGTTAGGCGTCCGGCTTTGGCTCAGATCGTGATCTCCTGGCCCACAAGTTGGAGCCCCAAATCGGGCTCTGGGCTGACAGCTCAGAGCCTGGAGCCTGCTTCGGCTTCTCTGACTCTCCCCCGCTCACACTGACTCGCTCTCTCAAAAAATAAATATTCAAAAAAAGAAAAAACTAAAACAAAACTGAAATAAGAATGTCTAATCAGCATCAGATAAGCAATGTGGTATAACTTCTGTCCAAAGCAAATAAACTTGACGCTTAATTAATTGAACTTTTAAATGTATTTATTAAAAAATTTTTTTTTAATGTTTATTCATTTTTTGAGAGACAAAGAGAGACAGAGTATGAGTGGGGAAGGGGCAGAGAGAGGGAGACACAGAATCTGAAGCAGGCTCCAGGCTCTGAGCGGTCAGCACAGAGCCTGACGCGGGGCTCAAACTCATGAACTTTGAGATCACGACCTGAGCCGAAGTCGGATGCTCAACCGACTGAGCCCCCCGGGCGTCCCTATTTATTTATCTTGAGAGAGAGAGCGCAACAACAAGCTGGGGAGGGGCAGACAGAGAGGGAGAGAGGACCACAAGCAGGCCCAGCACAGCCACCGCAGAGCCCAATGTGGGGCTCAAACCCACAAACCGTGAGCTCATGAACTGAGCCAAAACCAAGTCGGATGCTTAACCCACTGAGCCCACCCAGGCGCCCCGAGAAACTTGACATTTTAGCCTTTAGGGCCTTATGTAGAGTGGGATGGTTCCGTTAAGCTTTGAAAATATTGGAAATTTCTGCCCTGGATTTCTAGGAATACCTTCACTGACTGACTACTAGGGTCCAGGGATCCCTCATCACCAGGATGGAAACTTCTGACCCAGGGAAAAGGAAGGAGGGGGGAGACAGAGAGGTGGAAGCAGACGTTTGCAGAGAAACTAACGCGGGAGGCATTGGCTGCTTTCTCTCTTTAGCCATCCTGATGCTAGGCTGCTCTATTTTCCCCCTTTGAGCTAGGTCAACAGGGGCTCAAAGCGGTCAAAGTAGTGCATTCTGGGTCAGGAGCTAATTTGTGTCTTCTGATTCCAAGCCTGGAGTTCTTCCCTGGACAGCAGCTTGCGTCTCGTGAGAGTGTGAGGAGGGAGGTCGTCCCTCGGTTGTGGTGCTCTCCGTGGTAGGTACACTTCTCTCCCTGGAGAGGGATGGGGCGAGGCAGGATTGGAGGGAGGATTACCCATCACCATCTTCCCACTCCAGGTCCCGGGAGGGGAAGGTTGCTGCTCTTGGGCGGGCGGCTGGACCAAGGGGTAATCAGGGAGACCAGGCGGGGGGATTGTGGCTGAGGACATGATGGTGCCTGTGAGCTCTTCCTGGGCGCTCTTAGTGAGGAAGCCAGCACCCAGGTTGGGACTCCCCAAGTCTCCAGGTGTCTGGATACAGACAGCGCCCCTAGGGGAGTCCCCTTGGTTCCTGTCCTTTCCCCATAACGTTCATCAAAGGCCAGAGAAGTATGGTGCCTTGACCTTACTCCCTGGTTCCTTCCTGCCCTTGAGAATCTGGGTCGCGGAGAGAGAGAACCCCAACACCACTGAGTGCTCTTAGCTGGTCTGATAGCCATGTCTGCACAGGATAGAATTTTGAAACGGACTTTATCTGGGAACATTTGGCTTATCTCCTCTGTGCCTGTTGTCCACCTTGTCGGTTGCTGTGCAGTAAAATGACACAATACACGGGAAAGCACCTAGTAACCTTTAAAATGCAGCAAACTTACTGTTGTCGTTGTTATTATAGCATCCCAAGGCTCAAGAGGACGGTAACGATGGCCTCATCTCATCCCCTCACTGGGGCAGGAATCCTTGTCAGGCACCTCGGACCAATTGCCAGTCACCTCCACCTGCATACTTGTTGTGACGGGGAGCTCACTCCTCGAAAGGTAGCCCCTTCTCTCCCTGGTTCGCTCTTGTGGAGAAAAAGTTCCTCTTTGGGTTGAGTTGAAGTCTGCAATCGTTGGACACACATCACACACGTTCCCGCTGTTCTCCGGGATTTAAGGACAGCTTCATGTCCCAGGTCATCTTTGTTCCCACACTCCCTCCTCCTCCACCCGCCCCCAGAGTACCTGTCTCTGATATCCCTATGAACTTTGCACAGGATCATTTTTAGATTCTTCGTTCCCTGGAGTTCCACCCACTCCAGCTGGCCAGTGTCCCCCCTGCAAAAGAGCGGTGCCCGGAACAAACACAGCCAACCCCTGCGGATGTGACCCGAGCGGGGCAAAGTGCGGGACAGGTTTCACCTCCTATCATCTACACTCTGTGACTCTATTAGTGCAGCGCAAAAACAGTTGCATCAAATTTGCTCACTTGAAGCTTGTATTTTAAGCAAACATCCTGCAATCTTTCTCACCTAAACTACATCTGTGTCTCGTGTTTGTAATTAGTTTAAATGGACCCAAGTTAAGAAATATCATGTAGCCATCACCTTAGAAGGCAAGCTTTCATGGGCTCTTCATTATATGACCCTCCGTCCCTGGTTCAGGGACCGTTGTTATGATTTCTCTGATACTTGCTTTCTTCCTGTGCTTAGTTTACTATGTATGCATAATGTTTAGTTTTGCCTGTTTGGGAACTATATATAAATGGGATCATGCTGTATTGTATTGCTTTGTGGTTTGCTTTTCCTCAAAACTATTTGAGATCCATCTATGTTGAATATGTAAGGGTAGTTTGTTCGTTATTGTTGCTGTATTCCACTGTATGAATATTTAAAAATTTATTTATCCTACTGTTGGTGAACATTTGGGTTATTTAGTTGTTTATTGTATTATAAACTATGCCACTTTGATGGGCACCTGGGTGCACAGTCAGGTAAACGTCCGATTTCAGCTCAGGCCGTGAACTCAGGGTTTGAGTTCGAGCCCTGAGTTGGGCTCTGTGTTGACAGCTCAGAGCCTGGAGACTGCTTCGGATTCTCTGTCTCCCTCTCTCTCTGTTCCTCCTCCGCTTGCTCTCTCTCTCTCTCAAAAATAAATAAAGATTAAAAAAAATTTAAGCTATGCCACCTTGAATATTCTTGTATGTGTCTCTTGGGGCACATGTACAATGTAATTGATAAGTAATTATTTCATGTGTTTACATCTTGTCTCGTGGCTTCTTTCAGAATAGAGGAATCATGCCTTTTACACTTAATAAAGGCTTTGAGCACACACTAGTTTTCTCTAGAATATATACCTATGGGTGGAATTGCTGAGTCTTGGGATTTACGTAAAAGTACAAAAATGCACACCTGCTCTTATCTGATTGTGTGCTCCCAACTGATTGCAAAATTGCTTTTTTAAACACTTGCTTGGCATGGGGAGCTCTGGGTGTCCAAACCAGCAGCCTGACCATTTCTGAGTGACCTTGATCTTGAGGGCCTGGCTTCAAGCCTCAGATTATCAATAGCAATAAAGATGGCTCTCACTCCCTGGAAAGAGTCCCTTCTAGAGAGGACATCAGCATCTGCTATCTTATGGCCCCTACCTCGTGTTAGTCATCACAAGATAGAGGATGCACTGGGCTGCCCTATCCTGGACAGAAGACATTTGGGGGGAGTGGGCAGGGGAAATCATCCTCCTTGCTCTCTCCAAGGCACACCAGCCATCTGAGGATATTAACTGCTCAAAAAACTCAAGTCTGTATTTAGGTCCTCCCCTAATGCTAGCAGAATTTGGGACAAAAGTACAAACAGATGCTACACGTCCACCTAAAATTATTTAAAATTACACATCATTCCACCTGTTAACCTTAATATATTCTATTCTACCTTGACAAATGCGCATCTTCGGTGATGGGGAAGACCAGGGATTCAGAATTCCAGAACTCCTGAGATCCATGCACTTAACTGAGGTGGTAAGGGGAGCCCTGGTGGGGCTGGACTGTTGGCCCTCGGTCCCCTTTGTCTACACTGCACCTCAAATGTGCGGTTGGTGTGCCACCTCCTACAAATACAGCTGCTGCTTAGCTACTTGGACACACGCCGCCGTCTCTGCCCTGGAGAGGACGGACCCAGGAAGAGGCCACAGCCTCCAGCCATTTGGGGCGGGGGGCGGTTATGAGGTCACAGGCTCCCAGAACTTGGTCCTGAAGGAGGGGGGGGCACATGTGGAAGGTGGGCATGTTCCCTGCACCCTGTGGGAGGACTGTGTCCAGACAGGGCCTCGGGCAGGCTCTCCAGTCGCGTGTAAGGGCGGTACTGTCTGCACATCACCTCTCCTCTCCCGTCCCGATGAGCACGGGGACTGAGTTTGGCTGTGTCCCCATCATCTATCACAGTACCTGGTCCCTGTAAGTCACCTGGCACACAGGTGCTCAATGCCAAGTACGCCAGAAACAGTTCCTCACACTTTTCTTTCATTGAAGCCTTCCTCGGCCGTCACCCAGATGAGCCCTTGTGAGGTTCAGGGAGGTGAAGTGACTCGCCCAAGGTCACACAGCTACAAGGGGTAGAGGCTGGATTTGCACTCACTTGGCCACCCGGCCTCCTCGCTCGGCCTTTCCTCTGTGCTGGGGCGGCGGACCGCGAGCACCCCCCCTCCCCTCCACAGCCCCACGGCCCCTCGGTCCCTCCATCCTTTCTGCGCCCCTCTAGCCCTCCTCCCTCCTCCCGCCCGCTCCGCGCCGCCTGCTCCTCCGCGCGAGGCCCCGCCCCTCCCCTCGGGCGACGTCACGTGCCGCCCGTCCCTCCCGCGCCTGCGCACTGCTTATTTCCCGCTGTCAGGATGAGGAGGCGGAGGTCGGCGCTCGGGTCCGTCTCTGCCCGCGGCTGTGGCGGCGCCGGCGGCTCCAGCCTTAGCGGTTCCTCCCTGGGCGGCGGCGGCGGCGGCTCGGTCGACGCCTCCTCCGCCAGCTGAGCCCCGCGGGAGCCCGGGACGCCGGCCGCCCGCCCGCCCCGCTCCCCGAGGCC